CTGCTTGCTTCTACACACGCATGCACACATCGGATCATTGCCTTGCGGACCTTTTCAAATACTTCCACACAGTGTCGAATGATTGATGATAGATGTCAGCCTGTGCATTGTTTAAAACGTGAATAAATGTGTTGGAAGCCCATCATTCATCAACTACATGCGTCTTTGTATTAGCAGGGGTACATCCTCTATCAGTTCCAGAAGTGTTTTCGAAATAATATCCCTGGAAACAGCTCTTGTAAGACAAGCTGGGTCAAAATATGGAGCTAACAGAGAGTTACTTACAATTCCAGCACAAACATTAAACGTAAACTGATTCTAGTGTCTAGCCTATATTATACCAAGGGGAATTGAATCTGCCCACAAATGTTGGTTGTATAAATTTGTTATTCCATCTCTTGAAAATGATGCTTCATCCGTATACATATCTGATGTTTTTAAAGAAACCATCGGCAAATATTTTCCCGTGGTGAGTAATCAGAGGGCGAAAGACCCCTCCACATTTTGCAAATGAAACGGATACAGAATATGCTATTGAAGTAGCTTCTATGCTGTACTATGAGGTGCACGAGATGCTAGAGCCATTTAACGCGTACTGATAACTGGATCGTCTCCGAGAACCTGTAAAATGTGTCCTTCGTTATCAGGCGAACGGACGGATCTCGGTCTTCCTCAGTTCAGAGTTTGTGGTGCCGCGGATCCCGTCTCAGCAACGCGATGATAAACAGGAACAAAGGCTGAACGACCCGGTTGACTTCTGTGATACAACCGTGCAGCCTAGCGTCCATTACTATTCGCTTGGCCGTATGTAAAAACATTATCTGCCTGCTGACAATATGAATATCCCCACATAGTTATACGGAACATTTCTCAGTTAACTCACTACTGCACACGTTAAGCGTTGAAGACAGACTAGCCACAAATGTACACGAATGACAAATGTAACCTAATCTACAGGGAAACACAGAGCTATCTACTGTAATCATTCTTTATACATCAATAACGCAAAGACGAAGGATTTACGGGTATATGGACTTTTGTCCTTGTTTGGGAGTGAAGACCCGCCCCACAAATTTGTAAAAGTATTTTTGATACACCATATATATATATATATATATATATATATATATGTGTGTATGTGTGTGTGTGAGAGAGAGAGAGAGAGAGAGAGTATACAAGTTCCGTTGAAAATTGACATGGTGAAGTGGTTAAGTTTAAGTTTCGTATATAATTTATTAACTGTTCATATAATGTTTATCTTTTCAGGACATAAATGTAAAAATTGTCCAAATGTTTTCTAAACGTTTTCGGTTAAAATTTTAGCCAGTATAAATGATAAATTTTATTTTACCGTTGACATACATAACACCATCTATACATTCAGTTAACAATAAAATAGAACTCAACCTTGATAATAGCTAAATGTATTGTCGAAAGCGGTTGGAAAACATTCAAAAAATTTTCAGATAACTTTTATCCTGAAAAAAATTATGCGAACCTATGACATATTATACAGCAACTTGTCATTCATTTTCAACGAAACTTGCTTAAAAGATGTTCGACAACCCATGTAAACAAATTATATATATATATATTTTTTGATGTTTAACGTTCTTTTTATAGATACAAGATATAGATACTTGTATCTATAAAAAGAACGTTAAACATCAAAAATGTCTTTAATAAATAAATTGTCGGACTTTGTCCATTTCTTAATATATATATATATATATATATATATATATATATATATATATATATATATATATATATATATATATATATATATATATATAATGCAAGTGAGTCGTAAGTAAGAGAAAGAGAAACAAGGGAGAAATTGAAATAAACGTGTGATGGAAGACATGACCTATGTATTGATGTGGGAAATATAATATGTTTTACTAACATACTGGCTATGGCAAGACATCTAGATTTAAGCTCAACTATAGAATCCAACCTCTTCCCCTCCTAAATTCAGTTACCCACTTTTATACTGTTAATACAGCTGGAACGTCATCGCCATAACGTAGCAGGCAGGTCAGTATAAATATCAATGTCGGGGGGGATAATCATTTTTTCGGCAGGTATTTGATAAAACCACGATTCCAGACTTTCTCCATTTTTCACGTGTAATCGCTCCATTTGAAGTCTGACGTCAGTTTACCCGGACAGAAACAATGTTGCTGTTAACATGATGAGTTAAACGCAACTCTAGCATTAAACTACTATAGTCATCCTATAAGCTTTTCAGTCCGCACTTGTACATGAGATATTGTAGACCGTTTCTGATACAAAGAGATTCACACTCAAGCAAGGTTCTGCTATTAATTTTAAGCACATTTACTCGTAACACATCTGTTTATTTTCTTATCCGAAACGTAAGCAAATCAGTTTCTAAAAAAATTAATGGATTAATAGACATATTTTTATTACTTCGAACTTTATTTTTAGTGTTGCAGGTCGGAAGGAACATTTTTGTTCTTCAGTTTTCTCAAGTAAATAGGTCGGTAGACGAAATGAATACTGCCTGATTAGAAAAAACGTCTTAAAAATTACTAGTATCCACCAAAAACAAAACAAAAAAACGTTTGAAGAAATAGACGGATGGATTAAAAAATATAATGCATTCAACGTTTAGAAATTGCTTTGTTCGCGGTTCGGATACAAATCTGAGCAGATATCGGTTTCAAGAGAAATCTAAACAAGTGAGAGGGCAACATTTATCTGTCTATCTATCTTTATATATATATACATATATATCGAGAAAGAGATAGATTGATATGAATAGTTTCAGATAAATCGGCTGATATAAAAAGTTTGAGATACATATGAACAGAATGAGATAGATAGATAGATAGATAGATAGATAGATAGATAGATAGATAGATAGATAGATACCTCAAAGATAACAAGAAATTGAGCGTCATAACTAATTGACAAATACTTTCATATGCCCAAAGAACTGAGATCAAGAGATATCGCAATTATGCTAAGAGCGAAAACGTACAGGAAAGTGCCGAGAGCCTTAATCCCCTCTTTCCTGAAGAGACACGGCCCATAGAAATAAATCTTTGTGACACGACATAACAGATTATTATTGAAGTCTCTTTAAATAAAATATAAAAAAAATCTCAAATAGATAGATAGATAGATAGATAGATAGATAGATAGATAGATAGGGAGAGATGGCTATGAGAGATGAGATGAGAAGCGTAAGATTGATGGATGCGATAAAAGTAATGAGAGGAAAAGGAGAGGAATAAATAATTTCGATTAGAATGACATCATTATGTTGATAAGGTATATAAGCTTAGCTAGGTGAACCTAGATATAATTTACACGGGTTGGATAAAACGATAACGATTGTATTGATCTGATTAGAATGGTTAGAGTTTAGATGAAAGGATGACATGGTCAAATACGTCGGATGAGACGACAACCGATAAAATATACGAAAGAACGTAAGATTAAAGAAGGCAAAACTGATGATATTGCGATAAGTAAGATTTACATCGATAAGATCAATAGCATAGATAATAAAGCAAGATTGTATTAAATGGAATCAATCACTATTCGGGGATCATTGTCGATTATTTCTTCACGCTTCACTATACAGCTTCTACATTTCCTATAACATTGATAGAAGAGATGTGGTTCCACTGAATAATCTTGGAGAGATTCTTTGCATTTAAAGAGGAAAATTGAGACAGCAGACAGAATGATGATGAGAATTCCGTGGATGCAGCATATGAGGTACGAAGAATTCTTAAGGAAAATGGAATGAAAAGGAAGACACGTACTTAGAATCAGATGGAAATAGTTGCAATTTTGGTATGCATATTAGGGTAATAGAGTTTGGAGAATTCGAGGCCCTCAGGACATATTGGCATCAACTAGAAAGGCGGAGGCATGGTCGAGTAAGGCAGAAACACGGTGTAATGGACAGCGGCTCGGATTGAGGAATCGGAGAGACGAGTTCGAATTCCAGTCAAAATCCATGACATTCACTTACGTGCTAATATTCTTGGGAAAGGTATGAATCTTCTTCTCCCCCCAGCTATAGACAAATAGCAGTACAGACCGGGTTCTATAGCATTGGACGGCAAATGGTCTACCGCAGGAAAAAATCTCCCTCGTATCGAAAGATACATGATCGTCTTAGCGTGTATAGCGTCTTAGCATGGCTTATAACTGACTGAGAAAGTATCAAGTAACCTACCTAACGGGAGGAATATTAAGGAGACAAACATTGATTATAGTTACAAATGAGAGGATGTTGCGGAGAACCATGTTCGTTTTACTTTCTGACAAGACACGACAATAAATGAAGATAATGTTGATGAAAGAATTTTGTAAGATTCTTTTTATATCTGAAATAATTACTTTTAAAAAGACAGATATTGAGAAGCTTCGGTCCGTATCAAGAGACTATAGAGTCCATTATCACGGCTAAATAATCTTTCTTGAGGGGGCCTGTTCAGGAATATTTTCCCGCTCATTCCACATCCACATATCAAAAGAATAATGAAAGGTATTGTAATGCTAGCTTACAAACCTGGAAACTAATGAACTGGGTATTCGAATGAAATGTCTACTTCTCTTATCTCGGAGAACAAGTATTTGCTTGATCTGGTATACGTCCGTAACAGTGTGGAGTCTCGCCGGGAGCAAATAAATTTGATGTGTAAGATCAAACAGCGGACCCAATCACTACCGTAGGATTTAATGGGTTGTTATTGTTTAGAGACATATCTATGGGTTATTTCATGCCGAAATCTATATATTCTATACGTAATTCTATTTTTGGAGATAATAAAGGTTGTACATTGTAGTTCTTACTAATTAACGTACAGATTGGGGGGAGAATACGTGAATAATGCCTTTCCCAAGGCTATTTGCGCCTAAGTGAATATAACGAACCCAACTGGAATTGAAACTCGGCTCTCAGATTAAACAATTCCGAATCAATTTCCATTACGCCATTCGCTAATCGAAGCTCACAGCACGTGGTACTCCCAAGTGGGCACCCGTCTAGTTACTGATTAGGCTCGACGTTGCATAACTTTGGTGATCGGACAAGAGCTGGTGCTTCAACGGGATATGGCCGTGAGACGCACTACGGTAGGAGATTGATGCATGTGACAATAAAATATTGATTATGGATGCATTAAACGTAAGCAATAATGGCAAGGACGATGCAAGTAGCCAAACAAAATAATTTAATAAACTAATAAAACCTAAATAATAATAGTTTTAATCGATTTGCATAAAATGTACAGGGTTTATTCAGGGATAAATAAATGAGATGCTACCGGGCATTTATTTTAAAGGATAAGACAGATAAAAAAAAAATGTAAAGATCGGCAATACGCATATATACCACGCTCGATACAAGCGATTAGACCAGATAGAGTAATCCAGCTATCCATCTCCCTTGAACACAATAACCTTTCTTCTTCTTCTTCTTCTTCTTCTTCTTCTTATTATTATTATTATTATTATTATTATTATTATTATTATTATTCCTCTTCTTCTCATTCACTTCTCATTCACATTCTTCTTATTCTCATTCTTCTTCTTCACCTCCTTCTCTTCTTCTCAAAATCCTCTTCCTCCTCTTATTCTCCTTCGTCGTCTTTTTTCTTCTTATTCTCCTTCTGTCGTTCCCTTTTTTTTCTTCTTCTCCTCCTATTCTTCTGCTGCATTCCCTCCTACTACTATTCTTCTCCTCCTATTTCTTCTTCTTCTTCCCTCCTACTACTATTCTTCTCCTCCTCCAATTCTTCTTCTTCTGCATTCCCTCCTACTATTCTTTCTTCTTCTTCTTCCCCTCCTTCTATTCTTCTTTCTTCTTCTGCTGCATTCCCCTTCTTCTCCTACTACTATTCTTCTCCTCCTATTCTTCTTCTTCTGCTGCATTCCCTCCTACTACTATTCTTCTTTCTCCTCCTATTCTTCTTCTTCTGCATTCTTCCCTCCCTACTACTATTCTTCTCCTCCTATTCTTCTTCTGCTGCATTCCCTCCTACTACTATTCTTTCTCCTCCAATTCTTCTTCTGCTGCATTCCCTCCTACTACTATTCTTCTCCTCCTATTCTTCTTCTGCTATTCCCTCCTACTACTATTCTTCTCCTCCAATTTTCTTCTGCTGCATTCCCTCCTACTACTCTTCTCCTCCTTCTTCTTCTTCTGCTGCATTCCCTCTTCTACTACTATTCCCTTCTCCTTCTCCTCCTATTCTTCTTCTGCTGCATTCCCTCCCTACTACTATTCTTCTCCTCCTTCTTCTTCTTCTCCTACATTCCCTCCTCCTACTACTATTCTTCTCCTCCTATTCTTCTTCTGCTGCATACTACTATTCTTCTCCTCCTACTTCTTCTGCTGCATTCCCTCTTCTCTTCTCCTCCAATTCTTCTTCTGCTGCATTCCCTCCTACTACTATTCTTCTCCTCTATTCTTCTTCTGCTGCATTCCCCTACTACTATTCTTCTCCTCCTATTCTTCTTCTGCTGCATTCCCTCCTACTACTATTCTTCTCCTCCTATTCTTCTTCTGCTGCATTCCTCCTACTACTATTCTTCTCCTCCTATTCTTCTTCTGCTGCATTCCCCTCCTACTATTCTTCTCCTCCAATTCTTCTTCTGCTGCATTCCCTCCCTACTACTATTCTCCTCTCTCTAATTCTTCTTCTTCTTCTGCTTCTCCTCCCCATTCCCTCCTACCCTACTATTCTTCTCCTCCTATTCTTCTTCTGCTTCATTCCTACTACTATTCTTCTCCTCCTATTCTTCTTCTCCTGCATTCTTCTTTCTTCTCCTCCTTTCTTCTTCTGCTACATTCCCTCCTACTACTATCTTCTCCTCCTATTCTTCTTCTGCTGCATTCCCTCCTACTACTATTCTTCTCCTCCAATTCTTCTTCTGCTGCATTCCCTCCTACTACTATTCTTCTCCTCCTATTCTTCTTCTGCTGCATTCACTCCTACTACTATTCTTCTCCTCCAATTCTTCTTCTGCTGCATTCCCTCCTACTACTATTCTTCTCCTCCTATTCTTCTTCTGCTGCATTCCCTCCTACTACTATTCTTCTCCTCCTATTCTTCTTCTGCTGCATTCCCTCCTACTACTATTCTTCTCCTCCTATTCTTCTTCTGCTGCATTCCCTCCTACTACTATTCTTCTCCTCCAATTCTTCTTCTGCTGCATTCCCTCCTACTACTATTCTTCTCCTCCTATTCTTCTGCTGCTCCCTCCTACTACTATTCTTCTTCCTATTCTTCTTCTGCTGCATTCCCTCCTACTACTATTCTTCTCCTCCTATTCTTCTTCTGCTGCATTCCCTCCTACTACTATTCTTCTCCTCCTATTCTTCTTCTGCTGCATTCCCTCCTACTACTATTCTTCTCCTCCTATTCTTCTTCTGCTGCATTCCCTCCTATTCTTCTCTCCTATTCTTCTTCTCCATTCCCTCCATTCCTTCTCCTATTCTTCTTCTGCTGCATTCCCTCCTCCTCCTACTTCTGCTGCATTCCTCCTACTATTTCTTCTCCTCAATTCTTCTTCTGCTGCATTCCCTCCTATTTTCTTCTCCTCCTTCTTCTTCTATTCATTCCCTCCCTCCTACTATTCTTCTCCTCTTTCTTCTTCTGCATTCCTCCCTACTACTATTCTTCTCCTCCTATTCTTCTTCTGCTGCATTCCCTCCTACTACTATTCTTCTCCTCCAATTCTTCTTCTGCTGCATTCCCTCCTACTACTATTCTTCTCCTCCAATTCTTCTTCTGCTGCATTCCCTCCTACTACTATTCTTCTCCTCCTATTCTTCTTCTGCTGCATTCCCTCTTCTCTACTCTTCTCCCTCCTCTTCTCCTCTATTCTTCTTCTGCTGCATTCCCTCCTACTACTATTCTTCTCCTCCCTATTCTTCTTCTGCTGCATTCTATTCTTCTCCTCCACTTCTGCTGCATTCCCTCCTCTCCTTTCTTCTCCTCCTATTCTTCTTCTGCTGCATCCTCCTCTACTATTCTTCTCCTCCTATTCTTCTTCTGCTGCATTCCCTCCTATTTCTTCTCCTCCTATTCTTCTTCTGCTGCATTCCCTCCTACTACTATTCTTCTCCTCCTATTCTTCTTCTGCTGCATTCCCTCCTACTACTATTCTTTCTTCCTCCTATTCTTCTTCTGCTGCATTCCCTCCTACTATATTCTTCTCCTCCTATTCTTCTTCTGCTGCATTCCCTCCTACTACTATTCTTCTCCTCCAATTCTTCTTCTGCTGCATTCCCTCCTACTACTATTCTTCTCCTCCTATTCTTCTTCTGCTGCATTCCCTCCTACTACTATTCTTCTCCTCCTATTCTTCTTCTGCTGCATTCCCTCCTACTACTATTCTTCTCCTCCTATTCTTCTTCTGCTGCATTCCCTCCTACTACTATTCTTCTCCTCTAATTCTTCTTCTGCTGCATTCCCTCCTACTATTCTTCTCCTCCTATTCTTCTTCCTCCCCTCCTACTATTTCTTCTCCTCCTGCTGCATTCCCTCCTACTACTATTCTTCTCCTCCCCTATTCTTCTTCTGCTTCTTCTGCATTCCCTCCTACTACTATTCTTCTCCTCCTATTCTTCTTCTGCTGCATTCCCTCCTACTACTATTCTTCTCCTCCTATTCTTCTTCTGCTGCATTCCCTCCTACTACTATTCTTCTCCTCCAATTCTTCTTCTGCTGCATTCCCTCCTACTACTATTCTTCTCCTCCAATTCTTCTTCTGCTGCATTCCCCTCCTACTTATTCTTCTCCTCCAATTCTTCTTCTGCTGCATTCCCTCCTACTACTATTCTTCTCCTCCTATTCTTCTTCTGCTGCATTCCCTCCTACTACTATTCTTCTCCTCCAATTCTTCTTCTGCTGCATTCCCTCCTACTACTATTCTTCTCCTCCACTTCTTCTGCTGCATTCCCTCCTACTACTATTCTTCTCCTCCAATTCTTCTTCTGCTGCATTCCCTCCTACTACTATTCTTCTCCTCCTATTCTTCTTCTGCTGCATTCCCTCCTACTACTATTCTTTCCTCCTATTCTTCTTCTGCTGCATTCCCTCCTACTACTATTCTTCTCCTCCTATTCTTCTTCTATTTCTTCTCCTCAATTCTTCTTCTGCTGCATTCCCTCTACTACTATTCTTCTCCTCCTATTCTTCTTCTGCTGCATTCCCTCCTACTACTATTCTTCTCCTCCAATTCTTCTTCTGCTGCATTCCCTCCTACTACTATTCTTCTCCTCCTATTCTTCTTCTGCTGCATTCCCTCCTACTACTATTCTTCTCCTCCAATTCTTCTTCTGCTGCATTCCCTCCTACTACTATTCTTCTCCTCCAATTCTTCTTCTGCTGCATTCCCTCCTACTACTATTCTTCTCCTCCTATTCTTCTTCTGCTCCCCTCCTACTATTTCTTCTTCTTCTTCTGCTGCATTCCCTCCTACTACTATTCTTCTCCTCCAATTCTTCTTCTGCTGCATTCCTACTACTATTCTTCTCCTCCAATTCTTCTTCTGCTGCATTCCCTCCTACTACTATTCTTCTCCTCCAATTCTTCTTCTGCATTCCCTACTACTCCTCCTCCAATTCTTCTTCTGCATTCCCTTCTCTTCTCCTCCTATTCTTCTTCTGCTGCATTCCCTCCTACTACTATTCTTCTCCTCTTCTTCTGCTGCATTCTTCCTACTACTATTCTTCTCCTCCTTCTTCTTCTGCTGCATTCTACTATTCTTCTCCTCAATTCTTCTTCTGCTGCATTCCCTCCTACTACTATTCTTCTCCTCCAATTCTTCTTCTGCTGCATTCCCTCCTACTACTATTCTTCTCCTCCTATTCTTCTTCTGCTGCATTCCCTCCTACTACTATTCTTCTCCTCCAATTCTTCTTCTGCTGCATTCCCTCCTCTTCTCCTCCAATTCTTCTTCTTCTCCTCCAACTTCTTCTCCTCTAATTCTTCTTCTGCTGCATTCCCTCCTACTACTATTCTTCTCCTCCAATTCTTCTTCTGCTGCATTCCCTCCTTATTCTTCTCCTCCAATTCTTCTTCTGCTGCATTCCCTCTCCTACTTCTTCTCC